ATATTCTAAACTCTGTATGCGTATTGGCTGTATCTGGAGTAAACAGCTCGAAGCGCTATGAAACACAAAGTTATGGTTAATTTCTTTATATCTCTTCTCTCATCTCTCTCTCTCATCACTCTCATCTCTCTCTCTTCACCTCATACAACCACTGTATGGGTGAGGGACGGCTTTCTGATTAATCCTCAGAGAATGTCAACTATCGAGAACGGGTCAAGTGATCTACATGCTATATCAGAGTCTTAACAAGTACAATCCAATGACAGAGTACAGGCTAGTGCCTTGTAACTGTGCGGTTTGTAAACCAGTACCATCAGGATAGAATCGTGCGTAATATTGTTTCAAGAAAAGAAAAGGAAGGGATGCACTTTAAAAATACTCGACAGGGTAATTGGATGACATCTCTTATAACATTCTATAAGTGTGTCAATCTTTACTGAAGTCAGTTTGAATAAAACAAACCATTCCATTCAATGGAGAAAAGCTTCTGTGCCTTATTTGCTCACTTCTTCATATTCCATTCTGATATATAACTGATGCTAGTAGCATCACGCTAACCTCTTTACAGTTGAACAGTTTTCTGGCTGCATCACACCGGACCCCACCCCCATAGCTGAAGCCATGGAAGTGGCACAGTGAAGTGCCGCTTTGGAATGATAAAGACTCATCATAATTAAACTCTGGTGCTTTGCTTTGGCATTTACAAATGCTGCTACTGAGCGACTAAGCTCTATTAATTCTTTTATTGATTATTATATTTAATTATATTGTTTTATATTATCTTATATATTAAAAGCTAATTATTATTCAAATATTAGTTTTTAATTTGTGATCTGAGGTACTTCTAGCAGTGATAGACAAAAGGTAAACTTATCATTACTGCTGTTAGAACAGTACATTACCTGATAGTTGTACTATATGTGCAAATGACATAAAAGTTAAAAAACAAAACAGGAAGTAAAAATAGAAACATAAAGAAAAAAGAATCGAAAGGAGAGAAGAGAAAAAAAGCAGAAAAAAAAGAAAAAGAAAAAAAAAAGAAAGAATACACACAAAGAAAAAAAAAAGGAATAGAAAAAAAAAACAAAGGAAAAAATAAGAAAAAGATATATAGAAAAAGAAAAAAAAAGGTCAAGAGTGTGATTAAAACTAACTAAAAACATTTACTCAAGTACTTTTCTCAAGTACAATTTGAGGCAGTTGTGCTTTACTTGAATGTTACCATTGCCCTGTCTGTGGCACAGCAGTCTCCAGTGTTGTCCAACCAATGAGACAGAGAGAGGCCAATCGGATAAAAAAACATAACAAATCCGATAATCGGAAAAATGCTGAATATCACAAGCAATAATCAGTCTATCCCTAGATGGAAGTGTGTGTGTGGACTGAGAGTGTAAACACACACACACACACACACACACACACACAAATTAATGCCAATATATACTCTCTATAAACTCTATTTCAATAACTCCTTTATTCACATATATACTCACATTCAATAATAAATAATGTAGGGCTCTGAGATACTACAGTTGGTCTGTTGGTTGGTTGGTACAAAGGAAGCATTTAGCATACTCACACACACAGTGTTGACATGAGAGTGTACACTATCCTGCTGTGTGGCCAGTGGCCTTGCTCACTGTTGGCTGTGAGGAATAGCTCTATTTACCACTGGTCATCTATCTCAGTCACATCCACTCACGTACACACAGACATTTTCTCATGCATGCACTCTCTCACACACACACACCTGGCCTGAAGACAGGCAGGCAGCTCAGCCAGCGGCTATTTAAAATGGAGGAATGCAATCGGAGTGGGATGCCAGATAGTGTTTACAACACTATCCACTTGCACTGCCCTCTTCTTCCTCTCCTCCTCCATTTCTATTTACTGCTCTCGTAGACTTTTATTTCCACATCTCTTACCCTCTTCCTCTCCCTCTCTCTCGCTGTTTTCCCCCCTTTTCTCCCAGCCTGAATAAAACAAATGGCCTGAGATGTTTAGAGGAGGGAGGGA